TTTTCTTTATGATAGTCTGAGAGAATATATTCCGACTTGTAAAAGTAATTTCTTTATGAATCCAATATCAGACAATTCTGTAGAAAGACCAAAAGGTTTAAAAAAATGATATAATCATTCTAAAAAATAGAATTAATTATTTTAAGCTATGACAACATGCATAGATGATCATTTTAATAAAAATATACATGTGAAATTCATAACATTAATACAATAATTAGCATGTTATGAGTTCTCTCCTATTGTTCACCTCAACTCTGTCTATGTGGTTCTCTCTCTCATAGTGAATCATACATGATCTCTCCACTAATTAGATGTTTCTAATGTCTTTCTCTATAGTGATCTCGAGGAGCAGGTCTTTATGAAGTAACTTCCTAGGTATGTTGTTCAGGAGCAGTCATTGAAGGTGTGTCTCTTGTGACATGTTATTTATAGGCTCAAGTAGAGTCCATGTGCTTAATTCGTCAAGTTTAATGGTTTACTCACCACCTTTGGCTTCACCTCCTGCACTGCAGACCCCATCATCACTCACAAAGAAGATAAAGGATGGCCTTGTCATCCTTGCAGTCTATGTCGATGACATTCTTGTGATTAGAACTAATGAGGCTAGCATCTCTGCTACCAAAGCCTACTTGTAACAGTATCTCAACATTCGTGACTTGAGAACTCCGTGGTATTTCCTTGAGATCGAGTTTGCATATCAGGACAAAAAGCTCGCCCTCACTCAATAGAAGTATGACCTCGACATGCTTCAAAATATAGGCCTCCTTGGGTGCAAACTAGAGACTTCGCCCATGGAAGCTCGCTTAGAATTCTAAGACACTTCATCTCCCCTACTCGAGGATGCTAACTGGTATCGGTGAATGTTTGGCAAGTTGATATATCTCACTATCACTCGTCTTGACATCGTGTACACAGTTAGTGTTCTGAGCCAGTTCATGTAGGAGCCTCGACAAGTTCATTGGGAGGGAGTTCTATGAGTCCTCGCCTATATCAAACAAGCCCTAGGGAAAGGACTCATCTATTAGTGACATGGTCATCTCCACATTGCAGCCTACTCTAACGTTAGGTATGCAGGTGACAAAGGCGACTGGAAGTCTACTACGAGTTATTGAACATACGTCAGCAGTAACCTAATCACCTAGCGGTCTCAAAAATAGAAGGTGATGTCTTGCTCTAGTGCAAAATCCGAGTATCAAGTCATGGTTGAGACAACGTGGAAAATGGTATGACTTTGATCACTTCTTGACGATCTCAACATTACTTCTCACTCTCCAATGTCCATGTATTGCGATAATCAAGCCACCATCTTCATTGTCGGCAATCCCACCTTTCAAAATATATTCATCTTAACTTTCATTCTCTTGAATGCATGAAATTCAACATATTTCATTTTCAGAAATCACTAATTAAATGATCAGAAGTTTACTCAAGTTTTCAAACTATCTTCAGCCTTCTCTTCTAGATTTGTGCACCCAAGTAGCGTATTCCATTTGTCTCTTCTTTTTTTCTTTTCTTTTCTTTATTATAAACATCATAGGTAGGTAGCTTCCCTAGATAGCTTCTTTTTCATGTCTAAATCTCACATGTGAAAAGCCTCCACGAGACAAGTGGGAAATCTCCATAGAAACATTTGCACTCACTTTTTTTTTATCTTGTCCTAGTCTCACATATAGAAACGTCTCTATGGGACAAGTGAGAAATCCCCATATATATATTTTTTCATGAGTTGGGTCTTACACTCTACCATATGATGATTTTTTTTTTTTCTATCTATATATATAAGACAAATGATCAACTACTTAGGATTCCTCATACTAATAATGTCTAGCTTCCAATAATTATTATAAAATTTCAACCTCATCACATCCATCTTCATGAGTCCTACTATTTCAAAATGTGAATTCATAACATATGGATCATGATCATCAAGATATATTCTGAAAATATTTCATCCTTCAATGTACTATATTTTTTTTTCTATCACTTGAAGTCACTAAATCTAACACACTTTAATCTTCATACTTAAATGAATTTACCATCCTATAGAAAAAATGTAGAAATCTATGAATTCATCAATACTAGTTTTAAATTTTCCTTCTATACTAATTATTCATGAAATAAATCTAACTGAATTTTCTTTGCTCCCCAGATAAGTCTTCATTATCATGAGTTAATAATTAGTAAATAATATAATTTTAGCCTTAACTCATGATAAATAGATTTATATTTGTGTTAAAGTGTGAAAATTGGCTTCAATTGATTAACGTGATTTTTCTGGTAATTATATGATTTTCTATGAATTTATATGATTTTTATAGTGTTATTTTTTAGATAAATGAAGAAAAAGAAATTTAAAAAAAAAGCAAAATATGGGGGACCCACTGGCTAGTCAGATCTGCAAGCAGATCGAAAATGTAGTCAGGGGGACCCTTGAGCAAGGGCTTGAGTTGCTAGGACCGATGGGGACATGTGTGCGCCACTCTTCTTCCACGTCACTAGTGGCTAGTCGGTTGTGGGGCAAGGAATGGTCGTACACACGAGAGAAAGGGACTCATTACTTCTAAATATGATATTACTATATATTCACCCAAAATTTTGACACAAAAATGATGTAGGATTAAACCCGTGTCACACCTTCCCCCAAAAGGCTTTGATGATTTGAATACCTAAACTATCCCTTTGTTATACAGAGATATACCATGATGACATCACTTGATAAGGGCATTAAAGTACTTATTTTAATCTCTCTCATGCAGGCAGACAACCGGCGTGGGTTTGAATCGTCTTAGAGCCAAAACTCGTATTTTTATCTGATTATCTCAACTTTCTTGTAGATCGTCAGTGAAGGATTAAGCCACTAGAATCATTGGATCATCAGCAAAAATCTCATCAATGCAATTCGCCAAGTATTGTTACTAAAATTATTGAACGATTCACGATAAAAGGATCATGAATCCATCGAGGATATCATCTTCGATTGATTGACGAACAAGCCGTCATTAGGAAGAGGACGATCTACTGGGAGATAAGTTGTCACCTCTTAAGAGCGTATTGGATGTGATGAAAAGCCTCCTCTTGCTGCGTAGAGCTGAGGATGAAGCTCCCTGACACGCTCCCCACTTCCATCTAGCTCTTCTTTGTCAGGTGATAACTGCCGGAGAGCCATAAAGTCATCATTTTTCTGCTTTGCCAGGTGACAACTGCTAGAGACGATTTGACGACCTATTTTATTGATCTCTAGACTTCACAAAGAGATCTAGAGATTGCTTATATCATCCTTGTCCAAGAAGAGCCTTTGAGGTTGTGGACATTACACAACGATCCTTCCAAACACTTAAGATTCTAGTACATCACCGACGCATCACTACTGCGACACCAGAACTCTATTTTCTTATTTTCAACTTAATTTCCACTTCATTTAGTGATAATTTGTGTGATTTAAATTTACCAAGCTATACTTCATTCAATTACGATTCTTTTGGCATTTATAGATCTTAATTTGATCAATTAAATCATTTATAATCACTTATGTAAGAATCGTTAGGTGGAACTTTATTTTTGCCTGATTCACATTCGTTGGGTGCTGATGTTATCTTGACATATGCACCCTTATTTCCCTTTTTTGCAAATTTTAAATATATTTTATTTTTCTTTCTTAGTATAAAATTCAGAAAAAATTATATTCTTTGATGAAAATTTTGAAAACTTACTTGATATTATATTACATCCCTATGGTCGACTTGGAAAATTACCACTATTTTTGAAAGTTTTATTGAATTATAATTGATATATTTGTTAAGAAATATTTCTAAATATCTGTAAATTAGTATTTTCTAGGTTTATAAATTTTAAATTAGTGTGATTTATTATACAATGACTAAGTTGCACCATCCCCCTAATTAAAATCAGAATTTTCCCCAATGATATGAAATATATTATAAAATTAAATTATGAAGCAAAAGATATATACTCATAAATCAGCAAGTATAACATGATAAAACAAAAATGTATGAGGCAAGATTAAAATGAAATAAGGAGCAACGAAATTCTAAATTTATTAACTACAAAACATAAATTAAATTCTGCAAAAATAAAATTATTAGGTTCCCTCCCAATCAGCGTTAAGTTTAACGTCTTGAGCTAGGCACATGTAAGCTTAGATCAATCCTAACAAATCTACTCTCTCAATTTCTTTTTCTTGTTTAGGTTCTAAGTATGTTTTGAGCCGATACCCATTAACTTTAAAACTTACAACTGTTTTTAGATCTTTGATCATTGCTGCCCCATATTGATCAATAGTCTCAAGAAGATATGGACCATCCCACCTAGATCTTAATTCTCCAAAAAATAATTTTAATCTAGAATTGTACAATCAAACTTTTGTCCTGGTTCAAGACTTCTCTAGTGATATGTTTATCATGGAAATCCTTAACTTTAGCCCTATAAATCAGAGAATTCTTGTGAGCTGCATTACGAATTTCATCTAATTCATGTAATTGTAAAAATCTCTTATGGCCTGATTTTTTTGTATCTATATTAAGCTTCCTAATAGCCCAATATGCACAGTGTTGAACTTCCATTGGTAAATGACACGATTTTTCATAAACTAATCTATAAGTTGATGCACCTAAAGGAGCTTTGTATGTTATCCTATATGCTCATAATGCATCATTTAATTTTTCAGACCAATCTTTTCTATTGGGAGAGACAACTTTCTGTAAAATATTTTTTTATTTCTCTATTGGCTAATTCTGTTTGATCATTTGTTTGAGAATGATATGGGATAGCTATCCTATGATCAACAACATATTTTCTAAGTAAAATTCTAAAGTAATGATTAGTGAAATGAGTTTCCTCATCACTAATTATTGCTTTAGGACATCCAAATTGTGTAAAAATATTGTTTTGGACAAATTGGGTAACTACTTTGTGATCATTTGTTCTTGTTGGAATAACTTCTACCCACTTTGACACATAATCAAAATATATTCACAGCTTCAAGATGAAAGAAAGGGTAATATAAAATCAATGCCCCAAACATCAAAAATTTCAAGACCAATTACTGATTTTAAAGGCATTGCATTTCTTTTTTGGATATTAATGGCAGCCTGACATTTGATAAATTGCCTATAAAATATGTGAGCATCTTTAAATAAAGACGGCCAATAGAAATCACATTGCAAAAATTTTGCTACTGTTTTCTTACTTGTGAAATGACCCTCATCCATCATAATGACAATGTTCTAAAATTTAAAATTTCTCTTCGTTAGGAATACATCTTCATAAAATTTGATCTAAACCTAGATGAAATAAATTAGGGTCATCCCAAAAATAATATTTAACACAAGCAAAGAATCATTCGTGTTCATTCTTTTCCTAATTGACGTGACTCAGTCGTTGTATATTAAATCACGCAAATCTAAAATTTATAAAACTAGAAAATACGAATTTTTGGATATTTAGAAGTATTTCTGAAAAAATATATCAATTATAATTCAATAAAGCTTCCAAAAATAGCGATAATTTTCCAGGTCGATCATAGGGATGTAATATAATATCTAGTAATTATTCAGAACTTTTCTCAATGAATACGATTTTCTATGAATTTTGTACTAGGAAATGAAAAGGAAATATATTTAAAATTCACGAAAAAGAAGAAAATAAGGGTGCGGACGTCAAGATGACGTCAGCGCCCGGCGAACGCGAATCGGGCGAAAACAGAGTTCCGCCTGGTGATTCTTACGAAAACGATTACAGATGATTTAGTTAATCAAATTAAGATCTGTAAAAGCCGGAAGAATCGTAATAGAACAAAGTATATTTTGGTAAATTAAAATCACAAAAAGTATCACTAAATGAAGCGTAAAGTAAGTTTGAAAGCAGGAAAACAGAGTTCCGGCGTCGCGACGGCGATGCGTCGACGATGCACCAGAATCTTGAGCGTTCGAGAGGATTGTCGTGCAGTGTCCACAGCCTCGAAGGCTCTCCTTGGACAAAGACGACGTGGGCAATCTCTAGATCTCCTTTCGAAGTCTAGAGATCAATAGAATGGGTCGTCGAGTCGTCTCCGGCGGCTGTCACTCGGCGGAGCAGAAAAACGGCGACTTTGCGGCTCTCCGGCGGCTGTCACCAGACGGAGAGGAGCTGGATGGAGGTGGGGCGCGTGTTAGGGAGCTTCATCCTCAGGTCCGCGCAGCAAGAGGAGGCTCTTCATCACATCTGATACGCTCTCAGGAGGTGGTGACTCGTCTCCCGGCGGATCGTCCTCTTTCCGACGATGGTTTGTTCGTCGATCAATCGGAGATGATTTACTTGATGGATTCGCGATCCTTTTATCGTGAATCATTCAGAAATTTTAGTACCAATGCTTCGCGAATCGCGTTGACGAGATTTTCGCCAATGATCTAGCGATTCTCGTTGCTTAATCCTTCACCGGCGATCTGTAGGAAAGTCACGATAATCAGATAAAAATATATGACTTTTGACTTTGGGAGGATTCGAACCCGCGCCGGTCGCCCGCCTCTTCTGAGGAAGGTGTGACGCGGGTTTAGTCCCACATCGGTTGTGCGCCGATTTTTCGGGCGAATATATAGTAATGTTAGCTTTCAAAGCAAAGTTCCTTCTCTCGCGTGTACGACCACTCCTTGCCCCACAGCCGGCTAGCCACCGGTGACGTGGAAGGGGAGTGGCACATACGTGCCCCTATCGGTCCAAGCCACTCGAGCCCCTGCTCGTGGCTACTCCCCGACTGCACTTCCGACCCACTTGCGAGCCTGGCTGGCTGGTGGGTCTCCCCCCCATTTTGCAATATTTTAGTTTTATTTCTTTTTCTTCATTTATCTCAAAAGTAAGACTGTAAAAATCATATAAATTTGTATAAAATCACATAATTACCCAAAAAATCACATTAATCAACTGAAAACCACTTTTCACACTTTAACACAAATATAAGTCTATTTATCATGAGTTAAGGCTAAAACTATATTATTTACTAATTATTAACTCATGATAATGAAGACTTATCACTAATGTGATGGGATTTTGCCAATTGCTAAATAATTAACTATATGTGCATACCATGGTGTGAGCTTACTATGCAAGGCAAGAATATGTTCATTAGGAAATAAATCATTTAATTCAACCTTTTCTTGCCCTTCAATTCTAGACAAATGGTCAGCTACTACATTTTCCTACACCTTTCTTGTCTTGGATCTCTAAGTTAAATTCTTGCAATAATAAGATCCAATTAGACATGGTTTTGTTTATTTCTTAGTCAACAAATATCTTAGGGCTGTGTGATCTGAATATACAATAACTTTAGATCCTAAGATGTAAGATCTAAATTTTTCTAAGGCAAAAACTACTATAAATAATTCTTTTTCCGTAGTAGTATAATTTATTTGTGCATCAGAAATATTTCTACTTGCATAATAAATTACCACTGGTTTCTTATCAATTTGTTGACCTAAAACAGCACCCAATGTATGATTTGAAACATCACACATGATTTCAAAAGGAATTGACCAAGTGGGTGATAGTAAAACAGGTGCTTTGGTCAATGCATTCTTTAGTGTAGAAAAAGCTTCTAAACATTCTTCATCAAAATTAAAAGTGACATCTTTAGCAAGTAAGGCTGTAAGAGGTCTAGCAATTTTTTGTGAAATTTTTGATAAATCTTATATAGAAACCAGCATGTCCTAGAAATGATCTAATTTGATGGACAGAAGTAGGTGGAGGTAAATTAATAATAGAATCAATTTTTGCTCTATCTACTTCTATTCCTCTTTCACTCACAATATGCCCTAAAACAATACCCTCTCTAATCATAAAATGACTTTTCTCCCAAACAAAGAACTAGATTGGTTTCTTCACATCTCTTAACTACTTTCTTAAGATTATTTAGACATATATCAAATGAATCACCAAATACAGAAAAATCATCCATAAAGACTTTTAAAAAGTTACCAATCATTTCAGTAAATATAGATGTTAAAGCAAGATTTATGTGTTATAATTATTTTTATTATTTGATTTTATTTTGTTAACTTGTAGAATAAATATAGGATATATTGTTAATTTTAAAAGTCTAAAGTTACAATACAGCATAATTTTTTATTATTAAAATAAAAATAATAAGATATAAAGATTCTTTTACCTACTGGCAAGTCGGCACTCAGTAGCTGACCTAGAGAGGGGATAGTGGTCGAGTAGGTAAACCCAAACTAGGGGCGCCACAAGCTGGGCTCAAGTGGTGAAGGCCTCGCTCCACGCATGTGTGCGTCACTCCCTTTCCATGTCCCAGTGGCCAACCGATCAAGGGGCAAGGAGGACCTGTACATACGTGCACGTGCAAGGGTGGACCACTTTATTGCCTTCTCCCAAGATGGTTCTGGGCATTATTTTTTTTGGGAGAAGGTATCTCTGCTAAGAGATCGTAACATTAGTTTATATTCAGCATATGTTCCGAAATATTTCTAATGTGGGACTAAACATTTTTATCTATTTCAGCGCAGCCATCTAGAGCACAATGTCATCCAACGGTACGCAAGAGCACGTCATCAAATTAGCTAGATCTTGAAGCTGGCAAACCGCCATGATAGCTGCATAAAGCAATCCATCAACAGTTTGCAAATCCAATGCTGCTCAGCATGCACGTGGCCTTAAAGGCTGATCCAACGGCTATGGAGGTGCCACGGTATCGGACCTTAAGCTCTTGATCGATAGTGGTTCACAGTGGGTTGATCCTGCATTGCTCAAAGTGCCACGTGACCAAGCTCATTTGATCCAATGGCACTCGAAGCGCCACAATACCAAGAACTTGAGTTCTCACACATATCACTATCAGAGATATAAAGAAAATAATTGATTATTGTTTAATATAACAGATATTATCGGTTATCTTTAAAATCCCGATGGTAGTCACGAATACAACAATCCATTCTTCTCTCCTTTTGCATGATCGACTCTTCGACAATCGACAAACTTCTTCCTTCTTCCCTCGACTACACTCAAGGCCTCTAGCGAGTGGTCAGCTCTTCCCTTCTTCCCCTAGATGATGGTGACAGCATGGTCGACCCTTCTTTCGGCCGATCTCTCTAGCAAGCGGCATAACGCTTCCATACGATACTTTTGCAACTTCTATCATGGTGTGGCACGTTCGGACAAAACCAAGCCACCACACTGGTGTCTCTAATTGCCCAGGAGGTAGACTAAACTTGGCCAATGATTTATTTCTTATTTTCAGTATTTACTTACTTGCTTCTATCATTTATTTACATTTTATGACAAGTTATTTCCGTTTCATGCACGTTTCGATTGAAATGAGTAGAACTAATTCAAAACTTGATGAATGATCTTCTTTCTTCTTTTGAATCTTTTGAAATTCATCTGAGATCAAGTTAAGATCATTTTCAACTTGTTTTCTATTGATTTTTGCAGTCAAATCTCGACATATTCACGTTCTCAACATTTAATGAATAAATGTAAAATCACCGAGATTAAAGGCTGATTAATGAGTGTTTAACAATAAAAACAAGTTGGAGACATTCACGGCTGACCTCATGTCATGTGTGTGAATCCTCGAGCACACATTCCTCTAAGAAAATGGGTTGACTATATTTCTCTCTTCCTTCATTTTCATCTTATTTCTCTCTCTCCCTCTCTCATGAGACCTCTCTTCTCTCTCCATCTCTTGTGAGATCTCTCCATTTCTCTCCTTCTCTCTCGATCGATCTCCTTCTCTTTCTCTCTCTAGATCAATCATCCTCTCTCCTTCTCTCTCTCCATCTCACATGAGATCTCTCTCCTTCTCTCTCTCCATCTCACATGAGATCTCTCTCCTTCTCTCTCTCCATCTCACATGAGATCTCTCTCCTTCTCTCTCTCCATCTCACATGAGATCTCTCTCCTTCTCTCTCTCCGTCTCATGTGAGATTTCTCTCCTCCTCTCTCTTTCTCTCCCTTTCACAAGAGATCTCATCCCTTCTCTCTCTCATGAGAGCTCTCTCTTCTCTCTCTCTTCTCTCTCTCTTCTCTCTCTCTTTTCCTCCTTCCTTTTCTCCACTTCCCTTCCTTTATTCTTCTCACCTCACCCTTCTATTTTATTATTTCTATTAAGTATTAATAAAATATTAAAATCACTTTATATGTAAATTAAATTAGTTTTCACAACGGATTAATCACTTTATACTAGTATTTTATTAAGTCTTAGTTATAAATATTATTAAATAGTGTGTATTTAAACACAATGACAAGTGCATACCATCTTTCAGTAAATATAGACATCATGCATCTCTAAAATGTGGCAAGTGTATTGCATAAACCAAACGACATGCATTTAAATGCATATGTTCCAAATGGGCATGTGAATGTTGTTTTCTCCTAGTCTTTTGAAAATATTGCTATTTGATTATATCCTGAAAATCCATCTAAGAATCAAAAATATTTTTGACCTACAAGTCTCTCTAAAATTTGATCAATAAATGACAAAGGAAAATAATCTTTCTTTGTCATTGCATTAAGCTTATGGTAATCAATACATACTCTCCATCTTATGGTGAGTCTTGTTTGTAATTCTTCCTCTTTTTCATTTTTGATCACCGTCAATCCAGCTTTCTTTGGAACTACTTGTGTCGGGCTGACCCATTGACTATCAAAAATAGGATAAATAATATCAGCATCTAACCATTTAATGATTTCTTTCTTTACTACTTTCATTTTTGGGTTGAACCTACGTTGCATTTCCCTAGATGGTTTTGAATTATCTTCTGTATATATTCTATGCATGCAAATTGATGGGCTGATCCCCTTGAGATCAGCCATCGTCCACCCTACTGCTTTCTTATGTTCTTGTAAAACCTCTAATATTTTCTTTCCCTATTCAGAAGTCAATAAGGTAGAGATAATCATAGGTAAGGTTTGGTTTGGTCCAAAAAAAAAAATTCAATAAATGAGGAAGAGGTTTTAATTCTAAACTTGGGGGATTCTCTAAAGATGATTCTATAAATGTTATGTCATAATCTAATGCCTCTTTCCTATAATATTTTTGATCTAATGCATGAACATGAAATGGAAGAATTAATTGATCAACTTGCTGAACATAATTCATTTTTTCTATACATGAATCAATCACATCAATATCTTCATAATTATCATTATCTTCATGTAGAAATCTTGAACTTTTAAAAACATTTAAAGAGATATTTTGACCTTCATATTTCATATTTATAATCCCATTTTCACAATCAATATTTGCTTTGGCTGTGGCAAGAAATGGGCATCCTAATATGATTGGTGCATGAGTAAGATTATCTAAAATAGGAATATGTAAAATCAAAAAATCCACTAGAAATCTATATCCTTTAACATGAATAATGACATCTTCTAGGAGACCCTTAGGTGTTTTAAAAGATCTATCAGCTAGCTGAAGTTCTATTAAAGTTGGTTTTAATTTTCCTAATTCAAAATTTTCAAAAACAGCCAAAGGTAATAAATTAACACTTACTCCCAAATCTAAGAGCACATTTCTACATGAGATGAGAGATGCTCCTAGATCCTTACATTTCCTAGGCAAAAAATGAGAAATAATGGCACTAGCCTCTTCAGATAAAGATATCTTCCAAGGTGACCTATGAGGTGTGCATAATTCTTTTAAATTTTTTGCATACATAGGTATATGTTTGATTGCATCTATCAAAGGAATAGAGATGTGAACTTGTTTAAATATTTCCATAAGCTCTTCATTAGGTTCAGCTCTTTTCCTAAGTTTTGGTTCTAATGCCATGGGAAAGGGGACTATTTTTTTAAGTTCATCTTGCTGTGATAAAATAGGAATGGGTGGTACTTCGTATTTTTCTTCTTTTGATTTTTTTTTTTCTTCCTCCAAATTCTCATCATCAGAAAATAAATTCTTATGATCATTATCATGATCATTCAAATCTTCATCATCATGAACTTGTTTTTCTAAAAATTCTGGTGCATATGAATCTTTGAGTTGCTTTCCACTCCTCAAAGTGGTCACCGCTTCTACATTTTCAAAATCTTGAGATGTAGATGGTTCATGGCTATTAGAAGGTTGATTTCGTGGGTTCATGATTGACTGAGTAGGAAGATGACCTATTTTACATTTTGAATGGGCCAAGGCTAGTTTATCTATCTCTTTTTCTAGCCTAAGGAATGTTTGTTGATTTTCTTGCCTAATTTGCTCCATCATCTTCATCATAGATATGTTTGTTTCCTGAAATTACTGCATCATTTGCCCTATAAATTGTTGCATCAAATTAGAATTCATATCATATTGATTTTGATATGAATTAAGATATTATGGGCTGAAATTGGAGACTAAATTTGAAGAAGAATGGGTAAAATTGTGGGCTGGTGGCTGATGAGTACCTTGTTAGAAATTATGAGTATTTTGATGAAAAGAGGGCTTAGCATTATATTGTGGTTGCTGAGGAGGTCTACATGTATGATTAGGTCTAGAAAATGATTGAGAATTTATGACATTATTTTGTGAATTTGAAAAATTGTTCTGATTTTTTCAAGGAGGATTTGATTGATTCATATGATCATGAAGTGTATGTGTATGTTCTTGATCTGAATTTGGACATTGAGATTCATAACGATCAGTCCTACCACATGATGAACATCTAGAATATGAATGTTGTGCAGGTTATATAGGTCCTTTTTATGCAGAAAATGATCATATAAAATATTCAACTTTTGATAAACTTCACTAACTTCATTTCTAATGTCTAATGCATCATGATTTTGAACCTCAAACATTCCCCTTTTATTTTCACTATTGTTGCAATCATATAAAGCAAAAGATTCACGTTTATTATGAATGTGCCTCCACATGTTGCATTTATAGTGTTCTTGTGATGTTCAGATACACCATCATAAAATACACAATTTAATTGCCATTTGACAATTCCATGATGTGGACATCTCCTTTGAAGCTTCTTGAATGTTTCCCAAGATTCATAGAATACTTCTCTAGATTTTTGAGTAAATTGAAGAATGGCTTTCTGCATGGCATGAGTCTTGCCAATAGGATGAAATTTTCTCAAAAATACTTACTCTACTTCTAATCATGTGGTGATCTCATGTGGTAATGATGTGGCCAATCTCTTGCTTTATCATGTAATGAATATGGAAAGAGACTAAAGAATATTAAGAATATGAATAAGTTCACATGTAGCTAAAAATCAAAGAATATGTTGATGTGGCTTCTCATTAACTAACCCACGAAATTTAGGAAGTATTTGTAAAGTGCTATGACAAATATCAAAATGAACATTTGACAAAATAGGAGGTCTAATCTACAAAGTAGGTCTATATAAATCAGGTGTATAATAATCACACATAGGTTTATAAGGTTAAGTATTCAATATTCTCACTCTCTTGGGCTGGATGATCCATCCTAGGTGATTATACAACTATAGAAGATGATTTTTTTTCCTTTTTCTATTGATGGATTCTCTAATACGGGTGGTAAAATTCGTTTTTCTTCTGCCCCTAAATTCTTAGATTGGTTGGTAGTTGGGTTTTCTAAGATTGGTTACAAGCTGAGTCTACCATTCATAAATCAGGTTTTTCATTATTTAATCTAGCAATGATCATGACATGAATATATGATTCTAATAAATATGTGAAAGAGAAATATAGAATCAATGTGAAATTTAAAATATTCAAGTAAATAAATAGAAACTAAAGATTTAAAATTCTAACTTATGAAATAAATGTAAATAGAAATCAAATTAGCTTAATAAATTTATTTATTTTTTCAAAATACTATTTGAATGAAAATAATGAAATAATAAAATCTATTTTTTTTAAAAAAATCACTAAAATATATAAAACTAAATCAATTAACATGGTTAAAAACAAATCTCCCTAGCAATGGTGCTAGAAAGATGATGTGCACTTGTCGTTGTGTTTAAATGCACACTATCTAATAATATTTATAACTAAGCCTTAATAAAATATTAGTATAGAAGTAAGTCTCAAGTCGAACATAGGGAGATTGATTAATCCGTCATGAAAACTAATTTAATTTATATATAAAGTGATTTTAGTATTTTATTAATATTTAATTGAAATAATAAAATAAAAGGGTAAGGTGAGAAGAATAAAAGAAGGAAAGCAGAGAAAACAAAGGAGAAAAAGAGAGAGAGAAGAGAGAGCTCTAACAAGAGAGACACAAGATAAGATCTCTCGCAATAGAGAGAGAAAGAAAGGAGGAGAGAAAACTCTCATGAGAGAGAGAAAAGATGAGATCTCTCATGAAAGGGAGAGTAAAAGAGAGGAAGAGAGAAATCTCATATGAGAGAGAAAGAGAAGGAGATCAATCGAGAGAGAGGGAGAGAAAGGGAGAGATCTCATGAGAAATAGAGAGAGAAGAGAGGTCTCACGAGAGAGGGAGAGAGAGAAATAAGACAAAAATGAAGAAAGAGAGAAATATGGTCAACCCATTTTCTCAGATGAATGTGTGCTCGAAGATTCACACACATGACATGAGGTCAGCCGTGTATGTCTTCAGCTTGTTTTAATCATTGAAAGCTTATTAATTAACCTTTAATCCCAGTGATTTCATGTTCGAAAACAGAAAAATACTCATTATTCGCAGAACATTAGGAACATGAATATGTTGAGATTCGACTACGAAAATCAATATAAAATAAGTTGGAAATGATCTTAGCTTAATCTAAGACAATTTTCAAATGATTCAAAAGAAGAATGAAGATCATTCATCTAGTTTTAAATTAGTTCTACTCATTTCAATCTAAACATGCATGAAATAGAAATAACTTGTCGTAAAATATAAACAAATGACAAAAGCAGGTAAGTAAGTACTAAAAGCAGGAAACAAATTGTTGCCCAAGTTTAGTCTACCTCCTAAGCAACTGAAGACATTGGTGTGGCATCTTGGTTTCATCTGAACGTGCCACACCACGTTGGAAGTCGCAAAAGTATCATCTGGAAGTGCTACAGCACTTGCCGGTGAGATCCACCAAAAGAGGGGTTGACCATGTTGTCACCGTCGTCTGGGGGGAGAAGGGAAGAGTTGGCAACTCACCGGAGCTCTGAGTGCAGTCAAGGGAGGAAGGAATGAGCTTGCCGATTGCCAGAGATGTCGATCGTGTAGGAGGGAAGAATGGATTGCCGTATTCGTGACTATTGTCAAGATTTTTTTGATAATCCATAATGTTTATTTTACCAGACAATAATTGATTATTATCTTAATATCTCTAACAATGATATATCTAAGAACTTAAGTTCCCCATATCGTGGCACTTTGCAAGCCACTAGATGGGATATGCTTGGTCACATGACGTGCGACGTAGGATCAACCCGCCACGAATTGTTGTCGATTAGGAACTTAAGTTCCTAGTACCATGGCCCCTCCTTATCCATCAAATCATCCTTTAAGGCTATGTGCATGCTGAGCGCTGTTGGATTCGTGAACCGTTGATGGATCGCTTTATGAATTTGGTATCGTGGCAGTTTGCCAACCACAAGATCTGGCTAATCTGATGATGTGGTTCATTGCGTACAGCTAGATCACACTATGCTCTAGATGGTTGTGCTGAAATAGATGAAAATTTTTAGTCCCACATTGAAAATATTTCAGACGCATGCATCAAATATAAACCAAAACTACAGTCTCTTAGTAGAGATCCCTTTTCTCGAAATAAAATAATGCCCATGATTATCTTGGGAGAAGGCAATAAGGTGGTCCACCCTCACGCACGCACGTGTGTATGGGCACTCCTTTCTGCACGACCAGTTGGCCACTGGGACATGGAAGGGGAGCAACACACACGTGCGCAGAGCGAGGCCTTCGCCACTTGAGCCCAACTTGTGGCTCCCTCGGTCTAGGTCTACTCGCTCAACCACTGTCCCCCCTCCGAGTTAGCTGCCGAGTGCTAGCTTGTTAGTAGGTGGAAGCTTTTTTTATATTTTATTATTTTTATTTTGATAATAAAAAATTATGTTGTATTTTAATTTTAGACTTTTAAAATTATTAATATATCCTATATTTATTCTGAAAATCAAATAATAAACTAATTAAAACACATAAATCTAGCTTTAACATCGACAATCCCACCTTTGATCAACGTACGAATCACATTGATATCGATTGCCACTATATTTGAGATAAGGTTATATTTAAACTTATATCTACTCTTCATGTGACATCATCTCATTAGCTTATAGATGTCTTCACAAAGAGTCTAGTCGACATCTCCTATGATGCTACGTGTACCAGGCTGGACATGTTTGACTTATATGTTCTAGCTTGAGGGGTAGTGTTGGATAGTGGTATCGGACTCTCAACCCACTAGGGCCCATTATTTATCTCTCTTCTCATCTCTCCTCTCTCCTATATATAAGAGTCATGTATTCTACTTTGAGGTTTTATAGATTCTAGGGTTTTCTCTTCTCGTATCAACAAAAACTTTAAGTGATATCAAATTATGGCTCAATGTTGGTACATGGCATAGATTTCTATTTCCAAGCTCTCAAATTACCCATCGAACATCTAAACCTTCACCGAATCAATAGGCACCACTTTGCAAGGAGCATTATTGATGCAAGACGGGGGGGAATCCTTGTACCTGATCAATGAAACTCAAGACCCGGGAAGGGGCAGTCGGACCGATCCGATAAGAATGTATGGACCCTAGACTCTAGGTCTGACCACATAACCTAAGTACAGGCAGGCGTACCAATATGCACAATCAACTCAAGACGACCTGGGGAGACACTTGACGATGATAAGTGTGGGCCCCTCTCGGTCCACGTCTAGACAGACGGCAGAACAGTCGTCGTGAAGTAGCCTAGGGCTGCAGCTCACGAACGGTGATGAGTCTGGCGTACCATCAGAAGTCACAACCTGATAACCCGTCCCATCTTATCTACGTTCTCCTGATGGTGGTGGGAACGAGCCGAGAAAACCTTTCGAAAGATAATTGAACTTAAGAGGAAGGGGTACGGAGCTAACCTTTGGGGCTGCATAGCCCGGCGGGTCGTGACAGAGCGGAGACTCGACGTAAACAGAGACGTCTGGGGAAGAGCGATGCTCAGCGTTGATGGTCGGTCCTGGTCGAGAAGTCGCCGTAGTCGTCATCGTAAGGCGTGGCATAGTCGGCGTGGGTGTGGGCCTGTTGGTGGGCCGAAGGGCATGCTAGCGGGGCGTGCGCGGCAAGCCGCGCGGCGTGCCTTAGGGCACACGGGCGGCGGCGCCGGTGGGCGCACGGGCCGCAGGAGCCGGCGCGCGGGGTGCGCGTTGCGGCGGTGCTTCGGTGGGATGCCGAGCGTCAGCGGCGCTTCGGCAGGAATGCCGAGCGTCAGCAGCGCTTCGGCGGGAAGGCCGAGCGTCAGCGACGCTTCAGCGGGAATGCCGAGCGTTGGCGGTTGGGTGGAAGCCCCAACCGTCACCAGAAGGATCGGCCTTCTCTGGCGGCGCTGGGAAGCGGAGCAGAGGAAGGAGATGATCCTGGCCGACGATATCAGGGAGGGTTGAACCCTCCTGGTCTAGGCTGTGCCGGAAACGGCGCGACGGCGGCGGATCGTCGGGAAACTCCGGCGGGGGCCTGTGCGGAGCTTGGACTGGATCTGGCTCGTCGGCACGGCTGCTGGACCGACGTTGGCAGCAGGTAGGCATTCGTCGGCGAACGGCCAGCGACTGGGCAGAGTGGTGGATGGCGGCTCCGGCGAGTTTATGGTGGAGTTCCGGAGGAAGAGGTGGCAGTCGAACCAGGAGTCGAGAGACTCCGGCAGAGTGCTCGGCGACGGCTCGTAAGGAGGCGAAGCAAGCCCCTTTCGTCACGACGGCGTGACGGGGTTCCAGCAGAGGCGGCGGTGGTTGCAGCGGCAACTGCGACCGTTTCGTCCGGTGACGGCGGCGATCTCCCGGGTGGCAATGAGATGTCCGGCGGTGGCAGTGGTCTCAGGCGGCGGTGGGACTTCTCAGGCAGCAGCGTCATGACGAACGAAGCCCTCAGAGGGGGTATCGACGGCCTTCCTCTCCCTCCTTCCCTCCTTATCCTAGGTCACGAAGAAGGTATCTCACAACGATAATTTCTCACTAGATTCGCCACTCTCTTGAGGGGCGGTCCTACCTCCCCTTATATGGGGCCCACTTGAGGCCCTCAAGCCCATAAGCCACAAAAAGGCTACAAAAGGGGCTTATTGGGCCTCTAAAAGAGAGACCCAATAAGCTCCCCCTAAAAGGAGAAAGAGGAGGGCCCTGGTGCTTAAGTGGGCCTCAAATGAAGACCCAAATAAGCCCCAAAAGAGACCCAAAAGGAAAGAAGCATAGGTCCCCCCTCCTTAGGGTTTAAATTAGGCCTCAAAAGAGAGACCCAATAAAACCCTAAAGAAAGGGAGACACAAACAACAACACACACATAGAATTGCGCCCGCTAACACACAAACGCGAGGCCCAACAAGTCAACGTGAAAATACAAAGAAAGATAAGGGTGAGCTCGAGCCCGTCGTCATCGCGGAGGTGGAATGTCGTCATCCCAAAGGGCTAGGCCGTGTAGTGAAAGCCAGGCTCCTTCGCCTTTGCGCGTCGATCGGGCTGAACTCGGACTGCCAGTGTCTCCTAAGCTGATGGAGACGGGTCCCGCTCACCATCAATTATTTCTCTATAGAAATAACTTTAGTCGCGCTCTTATAGGAATCAAACCAATCAACACATGTCACATAGAATAAGACAAATTGGAGTCAAGAATTCATGTGTTCATTGACTTCTCAACCACATCTAGGGCAGAATAGACTTCTCTACTATCACTATTCTCAACCTTTACAACATTATCTGAACTTGATTCACCTCTTGTTGCCTTATCATTCTAATTCTTCAGATAATCTCTTTGTATGTACTCTTTTGACGTGACTTAGTCGTTGTATAATAAATCACACAAATTTAAAATTTATAAAACTAAAATTTTAGAATAGATAAATCAATTATAATTTGATAAAACATTCTAAAAATAGTAAAAAAATTATAAGTTTATCACAAGGATGTAAGATAATATCGGGTAATATTTTAAATTTTTTCTAAAATAATATAATTTTTAATGATTTTTAGACTAAATGATGAATATAAAATATATTTAAAAATTTGTGAAAAAGGGAAATAAGGGTGTAGATGTCAAAATGACATCAACACCCTAACAAATGTAAATTAAGAGAAAATAGAGTTATATTCGATGATTCTTATGTAAGTGATTATAGATAATTTAATAAAAAAGTGAGAAGAATCGTAATTAAATGAAAAAAAAAGTGAAACTTAAAATCAAACAAAGTATCATTAAATTAAGCAAAAGTAAGTTTAAAGTAGACAAGGCAAAGTTCTGGCCTCACGATAGCGATCACTAGAATTTTGTGTGTTTGAAATGATTATTGTGCGATGCCCACAGCCTCAAGGGCTCTCTTTAGACATAGACAACTTAGACATTTGCTCAATCTTCTTTCGAAGTCTCGAAAATGATGGTGGAAGTTAAACTAGTTAAAAATAGTAAAATAGAGTTCCGACGTCACGATAGCAATGTGTCAGTGATGCGTCAGAATGTTGAGCATTTGAGAGGATTATTGTACAATGTCCACGACTTCAAAAACTTTTCTTAGACAAAGACGACGCGGACAATCTCTAGATCTTCTTGCAAAGTTTAGGAATCAATGAAATGAGTCATTGAGTCATCTTCGGCAGCAGTCACTTGGCGGAGTAAAAAAATGACGACTTTGTAATTCTCCAGAGGCTGTCACCTAAGGGAGATGAGCTAGATGGAGGTGGCATGCATCTTACAGAGCTTCATCTTCATGTCTTATAGTATGAGGAGGCTCTTCATCACATCTGGTACACTCTTAAGAGATAACGACTCATCTCTTAGTAAATCGTCCTCTTCCCGACAATAGTTTATTCATCTATCAATCGGAGATGATTTACTCAATAGATTTGCGATTCTTTTATCTATAATCATTCAACAATGATGCGGCGTGCTACAGTCACGAATATGATAAAGCAGATAGAATGCAATAAGTAAAAGAGGCCTCGACGTCAGTTCTGATGCAACAAGTTTGACTTTTGCAAAAATTATGACCAGGTCAACCCAACTAGTCGATTGGTGCGCCGTCATAGTCATCCTCCATGGCCCCGGTGCCCGAGCATTTAATACACTATCTTGAGGGAGAGTCAACCTTTGAATCTGATGAACAAGTAACGTGGAGCCCATTTAAGAATGAACTTGGATGAAGTTGCTCCCACAAAGAAGATCGAATAGTGAGAACCCAGCCTGCTTAACTTATCCCTGCTTTTATCAAACTGAAAACTAAGTTAACCAAAGATAACCTATGAGAGAGAGAGAGAGAGAGAGAGAGAGAGAGAAAGAGAGAGACTGTTTGTGACATCAGTCTGAAAATCGGAAAAGCTGAGAATCCAGAAGCAAGGCGTGGTTAACCTAGCTCTAACCCTGGCCGGTTGTCAAGCCGGCTCCTACGGTTTCGGTGGTGGGTGGGAAAGCGGATGACAGAAACGCTTCTTCTTCAAATTCCCCCTTAAAGGGTATGATGTCTAAGTAGTATCCTGTAATCTAGACGGTCTGAAGGACAGCAGACCCGCCCCCTTTCGCCAACCGCCAATTGATGGCTAACTTGTGGCAGGGCTTTTTTCATTCGGGGGGGTGGCCCCGTCCGATCCCAAGGTCCTCGACGGGCATTTGATTCTCTCTTAACGACAGATGGGTTCCATTCTTCGTGGGGAGCTAGCAGTCCCGTGATGCTTGTGGCCCGGCCACTGTTCGCTCGGAAAGGCCAGAGATCGCCCTGGTTTCGTTCTTCGTGTCGCCGAAGCCATTTCCACTCGGATTGTAAGAAACTTGGCGAAGGAGTGAGGAAACAAATTCCATTGAGGCATATACTGTGAGGTATTAACAAGGTTTATCTGAAAGGAAGCAAATACAACTGTAATGAAATTCATCTTTGCTGCGCAATAGACAGTGAGGAAATACACCCCTGCATTTTGAGTCAGCGGTGCTGGAAGTAGCTGCGGGGGCGTTAGAACGATAAGTTGGTCACTCAGATTTTGTGCTTTTCTACGATGACAAGATGCAACTGGCGACGAGTCATGTTCCTTGCGTCGGCTTGCTCAAGAAGTTGCAGTCTCTCGGCAGCCATTTTAGTTGCACGGTGCCGTCAAGGGAGAGCGCGGTGGCTGGGGTACGTCCTCGGGCTCCCTCCTGCGCGCCACCAGCAGGCCGCGGGAATCGGTTTGGATCTCCTTCATACTCGCCTGGAACCATCCCGATGGAATGTGCAGGTCATCCCTCAACGCCGCCCCCCACTTGTTTACCAGCGCGATGTCCCTCTTTGCATCCTTTCGGAAGCCCCCCCGCAGGCTGTGGAGCCCGTCTACCAGGTGCAGGTACGTCTCCAGGCAGTGGAAACCAGCCAAGTCCTGGGGACCGTGGGGGTGGTGCTTCAGGAACGGTGACACACTCGCATCTACTTTCAGCTTCACGCCTGCGTGCGCGTACCACAACTTGAGCCTATCCATGTGGAGGAATTTCCCGACCTTCTCGTTGAAGACGGCCCCGGGCATCCTTGGTACCAGATCCTGCTTGTTCACTAGGCGGAGCACCTTAACGCCCCGATCCTCCAGCTCCTTCACGAATTCCCGGTTCCCAACCCGTGGGGCCCCGAAGGAGATGACACTGACGTGGGAGAGGCCGGGGATGGCGGCCGCCGCAGCCTCGTGGGCGCTCAGGAGCGCCAGCGCACCCCCGAGGCTGTGCCCCGTGACGGTCAAGCTCACCTCCTCGTCCCGCTCGCCGTAGATCTTCACCAGCCGTCTGATCTCCCTCATTACCATCTCGGAGGCGCTCTCCTCGTTGAAGCGGCTGGACTGTTCCTTGTCGTGGTAGAGGCTCAGGAAGCCATGCTCCACCTTTGCGTCTCCTCGGAGAGGCTTGAAAAGGATCTGCGCGTCCTTGTACCATTCGGACACCCTGACGGTGCCGCGCCATGCCACGACGATGTCCCTCCGGCCAATCCGACTGGTTTCCTCGGCGTTGCTGACGGCCACGTAACCCATCCAGTTGGATTTCGTGCTCCACGGCCCGGCGACCTCGGGGCGCACAACCCAGTCGAGTATGTCGATGTTGGACATGGCGTAGAGGTAACTGGTGACCTCGTAACCATGTCGCGTGAGGCCCAGCTTCGGAAAGAGACGGTCGCGACCATAGAAACAGCTGCCGCGGTAGCGGGAGTGCTTCTCGGCGTCGAAGGCGTCGTACGTGGCCTGAGTGAGCTCCCCGTACTTGATGAGCTCGTGGCGGAGGCACTCATGTAAGGGCTCCAGGAGGCCGTCCCAGTCATGGGCGCCATGTAACTCCCGCCACTTGAAGCCGATGGACTTTCTTGCGGATGGGATCGGGGTGTTCCTGCGGGCGGTAGAGCAGTCGGTGGAGTCGTCGCCGCGATGGTGTATCCTGAGAAGGGGGGATGGGAAGTGAGGTTCGAGGTGCAGCTGCAGAACGTTGGAGATAGTGGATGGGAGGTGGATCCCGTGGCCCCTCTTATGCTCCCGGGGTTCGCCCTCTGCGGCGGTGTTTGAGCGATGTCTGTGTGCCAGTCGCGCCAGGTCCATAGGTCTGCTGCGACCCCTTCCTCTGGACCTTCTCTTCCCCTTCTCGTGGGGGTTGACTACCTACAGCTTCAAGGCCGCAGAGGAAGCGGAGCATAAAATAGAGTCGTGTTCGGGTCTGACCCAGAGGGATGTAGACCGTCGGTTTTCTTATCTCTCCTCAGATTGAGAAACGTGTACAAAACTCAACTCCTTTCCCTGTTTGGCATGAAGAATGCCGATAGGACCCTCGTGAGGTGATCCATGTTTCTCCGATACCCAAGTCAACGGGGAAGCCTTCTCTCGGTATGCGTTTAGCGTGTAATCTGGGGAACCGGGAAAGGTGGAAATAATTCTCGCACGTTCCAATTTCCAAACGACAACGACCCCTCCTTGCGGCTCGCAAGATGCAATCGTACGGATCCCCTTGTCGGAGAGCGGCCATCAAGCGTACCTAGCTCCATGTTTGGGCGGCCATGACGCGGCGTGCTACAGTCACGAGTATGATAAAGCGGATAGAATGCAACAAGCAAAAGAGGCCTCGACGTCAGTTCTGATCCGATGGGCAGAGAGCGGATAAAAAAAACTCGCTGACGCCAGAGAGTAATGGCGCGAAGACTTCTCCAGACGGGGACTGTCCCTGTTCTCTAGCACCACAAAGAATTAGGATGCGAGTGAGGAATAATGGGAAATATTGGTGCCCCACTAGCATCTACAAGGAGATTTAGGTCCAGGCTTTCTTGCTGACGCAGGACGAGGGACCAATTCGGGCATAGTGGGCACGCTTAGTGGGCTTTCTTTTTGTCACTTTCCTTTTCTTCACTTGCTTATTTTGGTTATTTCCGTTGTAGGGCCCATATAAGGTCTGATCCGTCATCCTAGAGGAAGGAGACTAGAATTTGAAGAATAGATTTAACTAGGATTGGTCGTCAGGACCCCGTCACGTCACCTTCCACTGCTCGTAGCCGCCGCCTCTGTCTTTGCCCCAGTCACCACTCCCCATCATCGCTGCCGCCAATGCCGCCGTCTGCCGCCCTTCCATTGGCCGTAGCCGCTTGTCGCCGTCTGCCACCTCTGCACAACCGTGTCGCCGCCGTCCGTCGCCCAACCTTCGCCCGTCACCGCTATCGCCACTGCGGTCCGCTGCCACCGTCCCTGCGGTTCCCCTCCGCCTGTTCTGCTGCCGCTGCCGCCGCCTCCCCATGTGCCGCCCGCACGACCCGGTCGTGCGCCCTCTCACTTCCCACCTGCTAGGTTTAAAGCCCACCGGTTGGTGATACTGCGAACCGAAGGTCCAACCGTCTGGTCCGAGACCAACCGACTTGACTGCCTGGTCCGAGCCCAACCATATCCCGGCCCAAACCATCTTGGGCCCCTGGTTCAAACCAGCTCCTCCCATTGGTCAGGTTTCTGCCGGACCACCTAGTCCACATTAGCTGCCCCACTAGATCAAGCCAGTCAATGTGATCGGCCCATTCAGCCTTGTCAACAATCAACAGTCAAGAGTCAATTGTCATCAGTCAATTGTCAATAGTCAACCCTCTACAACCAAGGTCTCTTGGGTTTCTTTCCATGACTAATTCTCTTGCATCTTATGCCTAATAATCTCTACTCTTTTAAAATATTCCTCTTGTGATTGTTGTCACGTTAAATACTTCTTATAGGATAACTACTTTTTACACATTGAATGATCATACCTAGTGATAAGTCAAATTTTTATTATTAATTACAAGCACCCTACGTCTGATAATTTCCCTAAACTATCAGATCTTAGACCTGCTTTCTTAATTGTGGATGATTTTGAGCCTAATTCAGATTTTTTCTTCTTGAGTTTTTGATAGTGCGATTTCTGCATCATTTGTTTTATCTTCCTTATGTACTCATTATTTCCATTAGATGCAAACCAAAAAATTCAAAGATAAAACTATACTATACTAAAAAGGATATAGCCCATCCACTGCCTAATTAAAGTGAACTATAAGCTCAAGAAGCATGAAAATTGGACTACTTACCCAAAATGACTCATTAAATAGTGTGATTAATAATAAAACACATCTTAAATGCATCATTAAATAACTTTCTTACTTTTTATTTTTTTTCTATTTTTAGTCATTTGAATTTATTTAAATGTATCTTAATTCAAAATTAAAGCATCATCATAATAGACCCATTTTTAAAGAACACTATAATAGAGTTTAGGCCTATCTAAAGGCCACATTATACTACTTGAAGATTTTAGTCTAATATGTTAAAATTTTCATCTTTTGAGATTTTATCTCTCTACTAGTGGATTTCAGTGCCTCCCTAATAGATTTAGGGAAACTTTATTGATCTTGTGGAGTAAAGATTATCCCATTATTGATAATCCAATACTTAAGGTGTCGTGGGCCTTTAAGTTAGTATTAATTGATAACTCTAGACTTGGGATGTTGTAGGTCCTAAGTGAGGTTATGAAAAATTATTTATATTTTCACTATTCTAATCAATCTAATGAGTAGAGAGGGTAAGATAAGGGTCGAATCACAAGGAGAAAAGCTAATGATCTCAGGAAACTCTAAGTAATGAGAAGAAATAGGTTAGAATATGAACAAGAGAAAGAGAGATGAGAGATGAGTGGTAGATGAGGAATATGGGTAAAATGGAATGTAATGTAGAAAATCCTAAATCAGGGTTGACCTAGGGGGTTTGTAGAAAAGAAGTTTTGAAAGTAATTTAATGAGAAAGAGTAGTCGAGGTTGAAAAGAAATAATCTAACTACTAAGAACCTATCTAAAACCCTAGGTTTTACCCTAGGAAGAATGAAAGGAGACAAGTAAGTAAAAGAAAGAAGATTACTCAACATGAGCCTCTATTTTTCGCCAAAGCTAGGTAGTTTCCTCTAACAGGTTGATCTCTAACACTTTACTCTTTACAACTTGATCCTCAACACTCAACTTTGCCCTCAAGGCCTCTCTTGATCACTCAAGATTACACAAAAAGGGAAAAATAATGAATCTTTAGAGTAGAAGTTGTTTCACTCTAGCCGATCACTATTGGGGCTCCTTCCAAAAAGATGAGAAGGAAAGAGGGTGAAGAGAATACATATAAGTAGTTTATTTTCCCAAAATACCCTTAGCCCTTTCTCAAAAGACTCTTCACTCTTCTCCTTGATTTACACAACTTTCTTGATACCGATTTGTCATTTCAAATCTGGGGATGCAAAGAGCAAATCTTGAAGCTCGTGCCAAAAAAAATTAGGCTTTAAACTCCGACAAGATTGTTAGATATCTATCGTAAAAGATGGAGACATCTAGGTTTTTGAATGGGTGTCTCCACTGCAGAAGGACCACCGAAAGGTGATGGTTGAGAAGAGATGTCTTTAACTGCTGCTTACAATGACAAGATGTTCCTAATCACTGAAAGCTGATGTTTTAGGGGAAGAGGCATCTTTAATCGCTGCTTACGGTGACAAGACATTGTTAACCACCGAAAGTTGATGATTAAGGAGAAGAGATGTCTTTAATTGTCGCTTATAGTGACAAGACGTCCTTAACCACTGAAATAAGAGTCACAACAATCATCAACTAGTAGTCCACGTTTTCTTGCCTTTTGTTCACATGCGATACCTCATATTCTCGCATTCCGCATAATACATTTGTCCACTCTTCTTGCATTCCACGTAATTGTAGCTTGAATAAAATAATCATGGTGCCACCTCATCAAATACAATGGTGCGTCAAATAAATAAAAAAACTAATGGCTGACACATGTCATTAATTGTGAGAAATTGTGGAAAAGCCACTAGAATGTGTGAATAATGCACCATTGTCACTAGTAGTTTAGGGTTTAGGGTTTTTTTTTTTTTTTTTTTTTGGGATAACTATCTTATGGGATAATGCACCATTGTCACTAGTAGAATCACTAGTGTGCACCATTGCATTCCACCATAATGCACAATGGTGGCAGGGGTGCCTCTTGGCACGTTCTTCGAAACTCAGCGGTGCCTTTCAGCACATGCACAGCAAGCGTCTCGCAACGCATGCACACGTACCTTGGGACTTCCCAGGGAGGTCACCCATCCGGTGACTGCTCCCACCCGAGCACGCTTAACTCCGGAGTTCTTATGGGATCCGGTGGCAACTCTCCCACTTAGGGGGGTTTAGGGTTTAGGGTTTTTTTTTTTTTTTTTTTTTAAGAAGAAGAAATTTGATTGAGTGATAAAAGTTTGACCTCATTCCGAGGTTACATAAGTGGGATCTCATTCGCACAAGGGGCGAGGATGACATGAAGAATGAAAGACCTCTTTTTGAAGAGGGGATGTGATGATACTGGAGATAGGCTCTAAGGCGTTCATCATGTTTGAGGAAGGTGATTGATTTGCATTGGGTTGAACTTTGAGTTCATGAAAGTTGGAAGATCTGCTCAACAGGAGTAGGACGAGAGCTCCATGTTGTGCGCCATGCAATGTTCCTGCAAGACAAGAGTTTGCTGCAGTAAGTGATTCTAAGAGATAAATAAATTGATATAAAGTGGTGAGAAAAGAGTGATTAGGGCAGTGAGGAGGATAGAACTATGCTGAAGCATGACAATAAGCCCAAATATGAACTTGCCTTGCTAGTGTTGCACGCGCCTAATCCCTCTGGCCAAGATCTTGTTAGTATCATCAGTTGCCGTACTTCCTCTAAGTAGGTAAGGGACCTTTCACCCCACGAGGAATGACTTGGTCTCTGGTTCTAACTCTTTTCTTTTCTCTTATTCTCTCTCTCTTCTTTCTCTCTCCTTGAGGGCCTCTTCTTTTACCCTCCACTAATGCCCATTATTTGGTGTACATTAGGCTAGTGATTAAGGGAAGGGAAAAAGGTTGCCCCTTTTTTTTTTTTTTTTTTTTTTGTTTTTTGGTTTTAGGGCCCTTTCCCTCACCCTCCACTAATTGTCTATGATGGGCTAGTGATTCCGGGAAAAGAAGTAGGCTGTCTTTTTTTTTTTTTTTTTTTTTTTTTCCTAGAGAGAGAAAGGGAGGGAGAAAGAAATAGAGAATCGAGAGAGAGAGAGAGGAGAGAGGGTCAATCCTATGGATATAGATCTTTACCTTCTCATGGGTTCAAGCTGGCTGATGGTACTAATAAGATCTTGAGAGAGGTGCTAGGTTGCCGATTCACAACTAGTTTGGCAGGTCTGATGTGCTATAGACCTATAGTTCAAAAGTGGGCCGATGCCAACATATGCTGATAGTTCTATGTCCTCACTACTTGAGCATGATAGATAGTAGATGTGATGTGATTATGAGGAGAGTAATGATTGGAAGTAATGTACCCGAGTGGATTACGATGTGCCTTGTTGTCCGTGTTGTGCTGTATCTCCATTGTGGTCTTCAGCGGCCAATAGTAACCACCCCTGATCTCCTCCAAGCAATACGCCACTGTCGTGGAGAGGCCGGTAGTGGAGTGCGGTGTATGCGTAAAGAGGGTATGCCGAGTCGCTCAAGTCTATGAGCACCTCGGGCTTCCAGGGGCATGTCCTGCCAAAAAGAGAAGACTGTCCTCCGACGCGATCTGACTCCATGCGCAGCAAGGGCGTCAGCTGTCTGATTCCCTTCTCGGAATTGATGCGTAATAGTTGTGATGCGTCCTCGACATCGCATGATGTCTGCCCAGATATTCTTGAGCCTCCAATGAGGACAAGAGTCTGCACGTAACATGTCCACTAACACTTTGGAATCAGATTCTAAGACAATGTTAGTAATATTTTGCTCCTCACAAAGAAACAAACCATCCCGTATTGCCATAGCCTCTGCCACAGTATTAGTTTGTATATTATAAAAGTTCGAAAAGGCAAAGAGAATGCATCCTGTACTATCGCGTAAGATACCGCCTCCTCCAGATGATCCTGGGTTGCCTTGAGATGCTCCGTCGACGTTGAGTTTCCACTGTCCAGCCCTCGGTGGTGTCCATCTAACAGATCGGACAGTAGTCCAGGTCTGTGTAGGTATGATATGGAGTCCCCAAAGCCCAAAAGCCTCACAAACAGAACGCGAGCGTTTCGTTTTATTTGGCACTAAGGAATGAGTACTCCGAAGCCATTGTGTTACGTGCCTCATAATCTCTGTGGCACGCATCACTTGGCCTGCATATCGAGATGAGTTACGTCCCTTCCATATTTCCCATAACATATATGCTATGGAGATACGGATGAAAGGACAAACCTTGACACTCGTCGGTGAGTCAAAGACTCTCCTAAAGACCTCTAGTGGTGGTCTCGTAGGTCTGTACGAGAGCATTGGAAGCCAATTCGCTAGAAGTTGACGCCAACACTCGACAGCGATATCACTATGGAAAAATAAATGTTCCATACTTTCGTCTGTCGTGATGGAGCAACAATGACATTTCCTTTCCACCTCCTGATCGGTGACAATCACTCGATCGTCGGTGGGTAGTCCTCGGTGCATGAACTTCCACAAGAAGAACGAAACACGAGGTGTGATGGCCGGATGCCATATGAGATTTCCCCAAAATGTCTTTGGGGAGCGGTTTCTAAAGTGCTCCCAAGAGGAGCTACAAGAGAAACTGCCATCTATGGTAAGTGTCCAGATGGGTTGGTCCTCAGTAAAACTCATCTCAGTCATGGTGATGGCTGGTAACAAGTCCGACGGTAGTCCATGCCTCTCAATAAGTAGACGAGTGTCTCCTTGGAGAAGCTGGGCTACCGTCAAGCGAGGCCAAGAAGATGTGAAAGTGGTAAAACAGGCCAATGGTGTGTCCTCTAGCCAAGTGTCGTACCAGGCACTGATCTCGCCTCGCCCCACTCGCCAACGAATAAGAGGCACCATCTCCAACCAATGTCGCTGCCAGTCTGCCCATCGTTTGACTCCTTTGATGTCAGCCGGCTGTCGAGCCCACTCACCATATTTGGCTGACACAAAAGTACCTAGCACCGATGGTGTGGTCCTCATCCTCCAAATGAGTTTCTTTTGAAGCATGTTAAGTACATCTTGAGGGCGCCTAATACCTAGGCCACCCTCATCCGTAGGTCGACATGCTTTCTCCCAAGAAACTCGGCGTTGACGACGAGGTCCCTCAAGTTGTCCATCCCAAAGGAAGGACGTACATATCCGTCTAATAGTCTGTAAGACGGTGTCTGGTACCTCATGGACTGCCAAAAGGTGTAATGGTATGCTCATGAGGACATGGCGTATCAACTGGATCCGTCCTCCAGGGGATAGAAGTTGTAACTTCCATCCTGCTAGTTTCTTCCTTAACTTGCCCACTAGGGCGTCAAAATAGTGTATGCGCCTACGGCCGAGGAAGATAGGACATCCTAGATAGTCAAAAGGTAAGTGTCCACGAGAGAACCCTGTTAGGCCCTGGATGCGTCGTATGGTCCCTATGGGAGTAGAAGGGGCTACTATGAAGCTACTCTTCGAGGCATTTACGAGTTGACCTGCAGCTCGCTCATACCTCGAGATAATACTCATGAGCCCTCTAATGGATGTCTCACCTCCATTGAGGAAGAGTATCGCATCATCAGCAAAGAGGGAGTGTGAGATGATCGGGCAACCCCTCTTCGAGTAGTATGGTCGGATAAGTCCTTGATTGATCGCTCGGGTGAGGGATCGACTGAGGACTTCTTCAACTAAGATGAAGAGGGTGGGTGATAGTGGATCGCCCTGTCGTAGACCTCTCGTGGCCGTGAAGAATGGTGTGGAGCTACCGTTCACTAATAAAGAGAAATGATTCTCCCTAACACATGCATCGACTAAGTCAATGAAGTCGTCGGTGAACCCAAAGCATCTAAGAACCTTAATGAGGAAACTCCACTCTATCCTATCAAAGGCCTTCTCCATGTCTAATTTGATGATGATGTTAGAGCCTCGACAATCATGGCCAAGGGACTGTGCTAGTTCATGTACTAGCATGATGTTATCGTGAATGTACCGTCCCTTGACAAATCCGCATTGTTCTGGAGATATAAGTCTATCAAGGAAACTACTCAATCTACGTGTAACGATCTTAGATACAACTTTATAACACACGTTACACAAACTGATAGGTCGAAAGTCTCTAAATGAGGTTGGGGTAGTCACCTTCGGTATAAGTGCAAGGAAGGTGGCCTTCCAACTTCGTGTAAAGAGTTTACGACGAAAGATTTCCTTGATGGCCTGGATGAGATCAGTGCCAACGATATCCCAACATGAAATGTAAAAATCAGCTGGGAAACCATCTGGCCCGGGTGCACGATGTCTGCTCATAGAGAAAACTACTTCCTTGATCTCTTCTCCCGTGGGTATGGCTGTTATGAGAGAGTTCTCACGGTGAGTGACCAATGACGGGATCGAAGTGAGCATATCATCAGAAATCTCAATCGGCTGAGAGGTTAAGAGAGTACGAAAGTACTCAACCCCTGCCTCCTGCATGCGGGAAAGGTCATGATCATATGTCTCTAAAAGAGAGGTATAATCTGAACGTGAGCGATGAGCGACCGAGGCATGAAAGAAACGAGTGTTTCTATCACCCTCTTGTAACCACTGGATGCGTGATTTCTGGAGATAGAATAACTCCTGTCGTCGCACAACCTCATCAAGCTGGTCACTCACTCTACTCCTCCTTTCCCAAGCAGCATCTGAATATCTAGCTTGCAGTAGTCTTTCAACTTCTGCTAACTCTTTTTGCAATGCATCAACTTGGGTATGGACATTCCCATAGATATGTCGGTTCCACCATTTAAGGTGGAGTTTGAGATTCCTTAACCTATAGCTAAGGTTCTCCATAGGAGAATCTGAGATCTGTCCGTACCAGTGATTCCGTACGAAACTCTGAAAGTTTTCATGTTGGAGCCACATGGTTTGAAATCTGAAGGGGGGTCTGTGGGTGCTCATACTCTGTTTAGGGAGTATGAGGATCGGGGTGTGATCTGACCTATAACGGGGTAATATCGTGACTAATATGGGATGTCGCATCATGGCGATGCTGTTGATGAAACAACGATCGATACGCTCATAAATCAAAGCGTCCCCTCGATTGTTGCTCCACGTCCATGCCTCGCCTGATGTAGGTGGCTCAATAAGAGCTAATCGAAAAATACAATCATTGAACATCTCCATGTTACGGGCCCTAGGGATTCGCCCACCTTGACGTTCACTAGTATTACGGACACAGTTGAAGTCACCTGCTAGGTACCAAGGAGACTCAACTAGTGTAGGGTAGTCCCTCACGTATTGAACTAGGTCCGCCCAAAGAGTTTCTCTTTCTTCGGATCTATGTGATGCATAGATGACCGAGAAGGTGAACTCTTGGGTGAGATCTCGAGCCGTCATAGTGATATGCTGGGGTCCCTCGACTAGCAACTCCATAGAGTATGGTCTAGTCCAAAAGATCCAAATATGATTCGTGGGGTTGGAGTGAAAATGATCCATACCTAACCTCCTAAGTAAGGGTTGGATACGATCTGATGATATCATAGGCTCAATGAGGCCTACTATACCTAGTCGATACTGTCTGATAAGGCTAGCTATATAGAATTGGGTTTCGAGGTTGCCTATACCTCGACAATTCCATATGATGCTAGGTATCATGATCTAGTGAGTGGCCCCACGAGTCCTAGATCTCGTGGAGTAAGGTGAGCGTCTAGTGAGTCGTGTGGTCCTAACCTCCGTCTGATATCCCTCCTCTGGGTAGGTAGTCTCAATGTCAGTCTCAGAGCTACCATCCTCATGGGTACTAGTCGTGTGGCCCGTAGTATCATGAGCACTAGATGAGGAGGATGGGTGTGGTGCTTGACGATTCGTTAAGCACTGTCCTCTATCGGGGCTCTCCCTAGAATCAGCGGGTGGTGGATCAAGTATAGGAAACTGATCTGACGGTTGTAATAGGGGAGAGGGGGGGAGGGTATAAGAATCAGAATGGGGGGCTATGTAAGATGTACTAATAGGAAGTATGCTGGGGGTAGACCCTCCTAATAGATCATCAACGGGGATTTGAGGTGGATGGATAGGGCCCAAGCCTATACCCTCAGAGAAAGGGGTAGACCTCGGTCGGTGGGGACTAAGAGGTGAAGGACTCCTTCTACGTGGGGACGAGTGAATGGGCGGGGAGGAGCTGGGTGGTGGAGAGACACTAATGGGTGGAGTGGGGTGGGTGAGTATGGGGGGTCGGATAACCCGGGGGGATCTAGTATGGGGGGTTGGACTAGGTGAGTCCCTCGTAGTGGAGGATGCTAGCCCTTTGGAAGGCCTAGTTCCCCTTTGTGCAGGTCCCTCAAAGTCTCTCTCATCTAAAGCCCCTAAGACCTCGAAGGTGTTTGAGGTTAGGGGTTGCTTTCCCTTGCTCAAAGGGGAAGGTGTAGCCTCTCGTGTTCCTTTCTTCCCCCCTGTGTAGGTGGAAGAAGGGCGTCCAGCTGCCGGCTTTCGCCGTGTATGCTGTGTCTCAATCAGTGAGCTAGGCTTCTCCTGTGCCTTCCGAGGTAAGGAAGGTGGAGCCGCCATAGGGGCAATCGACCTCTGAGGATGACGAGCACTCTGAGCATCCTTTCTCATTTCGACGAGGTAATCGTCATATGAGATCGGTACTAGAAAGGCTCGTGTGGTCGTCTGTGGTGTACATGCCTTCTGACGGCATGTGCTGACAGTGTGGCCCAAGATCGCACAGTGTGTGCAGAAATACGGTAGTCTCTCATAAATGATGGGCTGATAAAGTTCATCATCTCCACTACGTATAACGAGAGTCCTCTGGAGGGGAGCCATTAGGTCCACCTCTATACAAACTCGTGCATATCCGGGTCGGTTGAACATTTTTACGCCTGGATCAAGGCATATGAATGTTCCCACCGCATTTGCCAAAGACTCAAGTGCCTTTGGCGTAAATAAATGGGCAGGTAGGCCAGGGAAGCCCACCCATAATGGAACCACATGAGACTGATGTGCTTGGTGCCCTATGTCATTTTGTGGTGTCCATCTGTGGGTATGGAGGGTAGACTCCCCCATTCTCCAAGTGGGTCGGCTCCATGCTCGGCGATAATCCGCTTCTAGCTCAAAGCGGATGTATATGCTACGATAGTCTCGAGCTCCGATGGAGACTCGGCCCTGAAAATTTCCAGGTGCCATGTAAATCTTCTCTATGTCACCTATGGTTGGTCGTTTCGTAGTGAAACGACCAACTAAGGTATATTGGAATGCGGCTGCCATCTGGGAGACCTCCTCATAAGTAAAAGCTATTGTCCTCCTCCCATCATCATCGCTATAGCTTCGCACTGGGACAGTGGTATCATAGGTTGGGAATAGTACATGACGTAGCGGTTCCTGTGGTGTGACAGTCTCTGTGGAGGGGACAAAGGGGTTAGACACTCGTTGCGCCCATGATAGGTGTCTAGTGGGTATAGTCGGGTTTGGCCTATGGGGCACAGTAGAGTCTAGCCCACTAGGTGTAATAGTGTGCCCAATGGATGCGTTTGGGGTCAATATAGGAGTCTCAACTAGTGTTGGGATCCTAGTTGGTTCGATTTGTTGACTCGAGGTAGGCTTAGAGGACGTAGCCGAGGGGGGACGTAAAAGTCGGCGTCCTATCTTCTTTTTGGGCCGCAGGCTCTTGCCCCTTGCCTGGGCAAGAGATTGGACCGGTGCAGCCTGAGCCGGCTGTTCAGGCTTGGCCTGGGTCACCTGGGCTTGGGCCTGGGCCAGGCCACTTGGGCCTGGGCCTGGGCCACCTGGGCCTGTGCCTGTACGTCCTGAGCCAGCGCAGCCTCGCTGGGCTGGGCCGGCATGACCTGGGCTAAAGCGACCTCAGGTGGCGCTACGTCCACCGTGTCTGACGTTGATGACGTCACCAGCGTCCCAGCCGAGGCATCGGCGATCGCAAAAAGTTGCGGCGCCTTTATGGCCACGTGATCCCCTCCGTTGATATCAAGATCAACGGTTGGATCTGGTTCGGCGTTATGGCCGTGGCCGTCCGAGGGCGGTGCCTCGGTAACGGCTGTTGACGCCTTTATAGCCGGCTGATTCTGACCATTGATCATACGATCAATGGTTGGATCAGAGGGGGCCTCTTCGCCTGCCGTCGCCTCGTTCCCGAAGAGCGAGTGGACGGCGTCAACTGCTGTCCCCTCCGATTCGGGTCTCGGGAAGACGCCAGCTGATGGCGAATCACGGACGTCCGTGGTTCGACCGTTCAGCTCCTCGGTTACGGCCGTCTCCTCGGTTACATCAACCGGCGGAGAGAGAAGGCGAAGACAGGAGGCCGTTACTGCCACGTGTCGGCCTCCTGTTCGCTCGCATTCGTCGGGCGATTTTTCATCTGGGCGACGGAGGTCACCCGATGAAATCTGTGAACTACTCATCATCTAAGCATCAAATAAAAATGATATAGAAGAGAGAATGGTAAACGAGGCAAATACGATTCTATTGAACTAAAAATAATGAAATTTCACCCAGTCAATAGAAAGATATTACCTTTGGAGTGAAAACTCCGGTAGTTTACCTTCGCGATGAGGAAATTGCGAAACAAAGGCTTTAATCCACCGTTTTCGATGCGTAAAAGCTCGAAACCGATAGCTGTCGGCCTTCCGAATCGAATGGAAAAGGTTTCAGCGCGATCTGAGGTCACACGAAGGAGATCTCACCATTTGCGCTGATCGTGAGGAGAGAGAAGCTCTCGCGAGGAGAGAGAAAAAAGTTGAGCAAATGCGGTCGGTAAGAAGAGAAGTTGGGCCGAACTTCTCGGGAGGCGGTACTTCACATGCCCAAGCACTTTGGTGCCTCTCAGGCACATTCTTTAGAGATAGATGCCACACGCAAGGAGATCTCACCATGCGCTGAAGAGAGAGAGAGAAGCTCTCGCGAGGAGAGAGGCAGAAAGTTGAGCAAATGGCGATGGTGGAGGGGGTTTTTAGGGTTTAGGGTTTAGGGTTTAGGGTTTAGGGTTTTTTTTTTTTTTTTTTTTTTTTTTAAGAAAAAGAAATTTGATTGAGTGATAAAAGTTTGACCTCATTCCGAGGTTACATAAGTGGGATCTCATTCGCACAAGGGGCGAGGATGACATGAAGAATGAAAGACCTCTTTTGAAGAGGGGATGTGATGATACTGGAGATAGACTCCAAGGCGTTCATCATATTTGAGGAAGGTGATTGATTTGCATTGGGTTGAAAAAGCCTTTGAGTTCATGAAAGTTGGAAGATCTGCTCAACAGGAGTAGGACGAGAGCTCCATGTTGTGCGCCATGCAATGTTCCTGCAAGACAAGAGTTTGCTGCAGTAAGTGGTTCTAAGAGATAAATAAATTGATATAAAGTGGTGAGAAAAGAGTGATTAGGGCAGTGAGGAGGATAGAACTATGCTGAAGCATGACAATAAGCCCAAATATGAACTTGCCTTGCTAGTGTTGCACGCGCCTAATCCCTCTGGCCAAGATCTTGTTAGTATCATCAGTTGCCGTACTTCCTCTAAGTAGGTAAGGGACCTTTCACCCCACGAGGAATGACTTGGTCTCTGGTTCTAACTCTTTTCTTTTCTCTTATTCTCTCTCTCTTCTTTCTCTCTCCTTGAGGGCCTCTTCTTTTACCCTCCACTAATGCCCATTATTTGGTGTACATTAGGCTAGTGATTAAGGGAAGGGAAAAAGGTTGCCCTTTTTTTTTTTTTTTTTTTTTTGGTTTTAGGGCCCTTTCCCTCACCCTCCACTAATTGTCTATGATGGGCTAGTGATTCCGGGAAAAGAAGTAGGCTGTCTTTTTTTTTTTTTTTTTCCCTAGAGAGAGAAAGGGAGGGAGAAAGAAATAGAGAATCGAGAGAGAGAGAGAGGAGAGAGGGTCAATCCTATGGATATAGATCTTTACCTTCTCATGGGTTCAAGCTGGCTGATGGTACTAATAAGATCTTGAGAGAGGTGCTAGGTTGCCGATTCACAACTAGTTTAGCAGGTCTGATGTGCTATAGACCTATAGTTCAAAAGTGGGCCGATGCCAACATATGCTGATAGTTCTATGTCCTCACTACTTGAGCATGATAGATAGTAGATGTGATGTGATTATGAGGAGAGTAATGATTGTGTAGAGTACGATGTATCTCCATTGTGGTCTTCAGCGGCCAATAGTAACCACCCCTGATCTCCTCCAAGCAATACGCCACTGTCGTGGAGAGGCCTGCGTGTTGTCGAGTCGCTCAAGTCTATGAGCACCTCGGGCTTGGCATGTCCTGCCAAAAAGAGAAGACTGTCCTCCGACACGATCTGACTCCATGCGTAGCAAGGGTGTCGGCTGTCTGATTCCCTTCTCGGAACTGATGCGTAATGGTTGTGATGCGTCCTCGACATCGCATGATGTCTGCCCAGATATTCTTGAGCCTCCAATGAGGACAAGAGTCTGCACGTAACATGTCCACTAACACTTTGGAATCAGATTCTAAGACAATATTAGTAATATTTTGCTTCTCACAAAGAAGCAAACCATCCCGTATTGCCATAGCCTCTGCCACAGTATTAGTTTGTATATTATAAAAGTTCGAAAAGGCAAAGAGAATGCATCCTGTACTATCGCGTAAGATACCGCCTCCTCCAGATGATCCTGGGTTGCCTTGAGATGCTCCGTCGACGTTGAGTTTCCACTGTCCAGCCCTCGGTGGTGTCCATCTAATAGATCGGACAGTAGTCCAGGTCTGTGTAGGTATGATATGGAGTCCCCAAAGCCCAAAAGCCTCACAAACAGAACGCGAGCGTTTCGTTTTATTTGGCACTAAGGAATGAGTACTCCGAAGCCATTGTGTTACGTGCCTCATAATCTCTGTGGCACGCATCACTTGGCCTGCATATCGAGATGAGTTACGTCCCTTTCATATTTCCCATAACATATATGCTATGGAGATACGGATGAAAGGACAAACCTTGACACTCGTCGGTGAGTCAAAGACTCTCCTAAAGACCTCTAGTGGTGGTCTCGTAGGTCTGTACGAGAGCATTGGAAGCCAATTCGCTAGAAGTTGACGCCAACACTCGACAGCGATATCACTATGGAAAAATAAATGTTCCATACTTTCGTCTGTCGTGATGGAGCAACAATGACATTTCCTTTCCACCTCTTGATCGGTGACAATCACTCGATCGTCGGTGGGTAGTCCTCGGTGCATGAACTTCCACAGGAAGAACGAAACACGAGGTGTGATGGCCGGATGCCATATGAGATTTCCCCAAAATGTCTTTGGGGAGCGGTTTCTAAAGTGCTCCCAAGAGGAGCTACAAGAGAAACTGCCATCTATGGTAAGTGTCCAGATGGGTTGGTCCTCAGTAAAACTCATCTCAATCATGGTGATGGCTGGTAACAAGTCCGACGGTAGTCCATGCCTCTCAATAAGTAGACGAGTGTCTCCTTGGAGAAGCTGGGCTACCGTCAAGCGAGGCCAAGAAGATGTGAAAGTGGTAAAACAGGCCAATGGTGTGTCCTCTAGCCAAGTGTCGTACCAGGCACTGATCTCGCCTCGCCCCACTCGCCAACGAATAAGAGGCACCATCTCCAACCAATGTCGCTGCCAGTCTACCCATCATTTGACTCCTTTGATGTCAGCCGGCTGTCGAGCCCACTCACCATATTTGGCTGACACAAAAGTACCTAGCACCGATGGTGTGGTCCTCATCCTCCAAATGAGTTTCTTTTGAAGCATGTTAAGTACATCTTGAGGGCGCCTAATACCTAGGCCACCCTCATCCGTAGGTCGACATGCTTTCTCCCAAGAAACTCGGCGTTGACGACGAGGTCCCTCAAGTTGTCCATCCCAAAGGAAGGACGTACATATCCGTCTAATAGACTGTAAGACGGTGTCTGGTACCTCATGGACTGCCAAAAGGTAATGGTATGCTCATGAGGACATGGCGTATCAACTGGATCCGTCCTCCAGGGGATAGAAGTTGTAACTTCCATCCTGCTAGTTTCTTCCTTAACTTGCCCACTAGGGCGTCAAAATAGTGTATGCGCCTACGGCCGAGGAAGATAGGACATCCTAGATAGTCAAAAGGTAAGTGTCCACGAGAGAACCCTGTTAGGCCCTGGATGCGTCGTATGGTCCCTATGGGAGTAGAAGGGGCTACTATGAAACTACTCTTCGAGGCATTTACGAGTTGACCTGCAGCTCGCTCATACCTCGAGATAATACTCATGAGCCCTCTAATGGATGTCTCACCTCCATTGAGGAAGAGTATCGCATCATCAGCAAAGAGGGAGTGTGAGATGATCGGGCAACCCCTCTTCGAGTAGTATGGTCGGATAAGTCCTTGATTGATCGCTCGGGTGAGGGATCGACTGAGGACTTCTTCAACTAAGATGAAGAGGGTGGGTGATAGTGGATCGCCCTGTCGTAGACCTCTCGTGGCCGTGAAGAATGGTGTGGAGCTACCGTTCACTAATAAAGAGAAATGATTCTCCCTAACACATGCATCGACTAAGTCAATGAAGTCGTCGGTGAACCCAAAGCATCTAAGAACCTTAATGAGGAAACTCCACTCTATCCTATCAAAGGCCTTCTCCATGTCTAATTTGATGATGATGTTAGAGCCTCGACAATCATGGCCAAGGGACTGTGCTAGTTCATGTACTAGCATGATGTTATCGTGAATGTACCGTCCCTTGACAAATCCACATTGTTCTGGAGATATAAGTCTATCAAAGAAACTACTCAATCTACGTGTAACGATCTTAGATACAACTTTATAACACACGTTACACAAACTGATAGGTCGAAAGTCTCTAAATGAGGTTGGGGTAGTCACCTTTGGTATAAGTGCAAGGAAGGTGGCCTTCCAACTTCGTGTAAAGACTTTACGACGAAAGATTTCCTTGATGGCCTGGATGAGATCAGTGCCAACGATATCCCAACATGAAATGTAAAAATCAGCTGAGAAACCATTTGGCCCGGGTGCACGATGTCTGCTCATAGAGAAAACTACTTCCTTGATCTCTTCTCCCGTGGGTATGGCTGTTATGAGAGAGTTCTCACGGTGAGTGACCAATGATGGGATCGAAGTGAGCATATCATCAGAAATCTCAATCGGCTGAGAGGTTAAGAGAGTACGAAAGTACTCAACCCCTGCCTCCTGCATGCGAGAAAGGTCATGATCATATGTCTCTAAAAGAGAGGTATAATCTGAACGTGAGCGATGAGCGACCGAGACATGAAAGAAACGAGTGTTTCTATCACCCTCTTGTAACCACTGGATGCGTGATTTCTGGAGATAGAATAACTCCTGTCGTCGCACAACCTCATCAAGCTGGTCACTCACTCTACTCCTCCTTTCCCAAGCAGCATCTGAATATCTAGCTTGCAGTAGTCTTTCAACTTCTGCTAACTCTTTTTGCAATGCATCAACTTGGGTATGGACATTCCCATAGATATGTCGGTTCCACCATTTAAGGTGGAGTTTGAGATTCCTTAACCTATAGCTAAGGTTCTCCATAGGAGAATCTGAGATCTGTCCGTACCAGTGATTCCGTACGAAACTCTGAAAGTTTTCATGTTGGAGCCACATGGTTTGAAATCTGAAGGGGGGTCTGTGGGTGCTCATACTCTGTTTAGGGAGTATAAGGATCGGGGTGTGATCTGACCTATAACGGGGTAATATCGTGACTAATATGGGATGTCGCATCATGGCGATGCTGTTGATGAAACAACGATCGATACGCTCATAAATCAAAGCGTCCCCTCGATTGTTGCTCCACGTCCATGCCTTGCCTGATGTAGGTGGCTCAATAAGAGCTAATCGAAAAATACAATCATTGAACATCTCCATATTACGGGCCCTAGGGATTCGCCCACCTTGACGTTCACTAGTATTACGGACACAGTTGAAGTCACCTGCTAGGTACCAAGGAGACTCAACTAGTGTAGGGTAGTCCCTCACGTATTGAACTAGGTCCGCCCAAAGAGTTTCTCTTTCTTCGGATCTATGTGATGCATAGATGACCGAGAAGGTGAACTCTTGGGTGAGATCTCGAGCCGTCATAGTGATATGCTGGGGTCCCTCGACTAGCAACTCCATAGAGTATGGTCTAGTCCAAAAGATCCAAATATGATTCGTGGGGTTGGAGTGAAAATGATCCATACCTAACCTCCTAAGTAAGGGTTGGATACGATCTGATGATATCATAGGCTCAATGAGGCCTACTATACCTAGTCGATACTGTCTGATAAGGCTAGCTATATAGAATTGGGTTTCGAGGTTACCTATACCTCGACAATTCCATATGATGCTAGGTATCATGATCTAGTGAGTGGCCCCACGAGTCCTAGATCTCGTGGAGTAAGGTGAGCGTCTAGTGAGTCGTGTGGTCCTAACCTCCGTCTGATATCCCTCCTCTGGGTAGGTAGTCTCAATGTCAGTCTCAGAGCTACCATCCTCATGGGTACTAGTCGTGTGGCCCGTAGTATCATGAGCACTAGATGAGGAGGATGGGTGTGGTGCTTGACGATTCGTTAAGCACTGTCCTCTATCGGGGCTCTCCCTAGAATCAGCGGGTGGTGGATCAAGTATAGGAAACTGATCTGACGGTTGTAATAGGGGAGAGGGGGGGAGGGTATAAGAATCAGAATGGGGGGCTATGTAAGATGTACTAATAGGAAGTATGCTGGGGGTAGACCCTCCTAATAGATCATCAACGGGGATTTGAGGCGGATGGATAGGGCCCAAGCCTATACCCTCAGAGAAAGGGGTAGACCTCGGTCGGTGGGGACTAAGAGGTGAAGGACTCCTTCTACGTGGGGACGAGTGAATGGGCGGGGAGGAGCTGGGTGGTGGAGAGACACTAATGGGTGGAGTGGGGTGGGTGAGTATGGGGGGTCGGATAACCCGGGGGGATCTAGTATGGGGGGTTGGACTAGGTGAGTCCCTCGTAGTGGAGGATGCTAGCCCTTTGGAAGGCCTAGTTCCCCTTTGTGCAGGTCCCTCAAAGTCTCTCTCATCTAAAGCCCCTAAGACCTCGAAGGTGTTTGAGGTTAGGGGTTGCTTTCCCTTGCTCAAAGGGGAAGGTGTAGCCTCTCGTGTTCCTTTCTTCCCCCCTGTGTAGGTGGAAGAAGGGCGTCCAGCTGCCGGCTTTCGCCGTGTATGCTGTGTCTCAATCAGTGAGCTAGGCTTCTCCTGTGCCTTCCGAGGTAAGGAAGGTGGAGCCGCCATAGGGGCAATCGACCTCTGAGGATGACGAGCACTCTGAGCATCCTTTCTCATTTCGACGAGGTAATCGTCATATGAGATCGGTACTAGAAAGGCTCGTGTGGTCGTCTGTGGTGTACATGCCTTCTGACGGCATGTGCTGACAGTGTGGCCCAAGATCGCACAGTGTGTGCAGAAATACGGTAGTCTCTCATAAATGATGGGCTGATAAAGTTCATCATCTCCACTACGTATAACGAGAGTCCTCTGGAGGGGAGCCATTAGGTCCACCTCTATACAAACTCGTGCATATCCGGGTCGGTTGAACATTTTTACGCCTGGATCAAGGCATATGAATGTTCCCACCGCATTTGCCAAAGACTCAAGTGCCTTTGGCGTAAATAAATGGGCAGGTAGGCCAGGGAAGCCCACCCATAATGGAACCACATGAGACTGATGTGCTTGGTGCCCTATGTCATTTTGTGGTGTCCATCTGTGGGTATGGAGGGTAGACTCCCCCATTCTCCAAGTGGGTCGGCTCCATGCTCGGCGATAATCCGCTTCTAGCTCAAAGCGGATGTATATGCTACGATAATCTCGAGCTCCGATGGAGACTCGGCCCTGAAAATTTCCAGGTGCCATGTAAATCTTCTCTATGTCACCTATGGTTGGTCGTTTCGTAGTGAAACGACCAACTAAGGTATATTGGAATGCAGCTGCCATCTGGGAGACCTCCTCATAAGTAAAAGCTATTGTCCTCCTCCCATCATCATCGCTATAGCTTCGCACTGGGACAGTGGTATCATAGATTGGGAATAGTACATGACGTAGCGGTTCCTGTGGTGTGACAGTCTCTGTGGAGGGGACAAAGGGGTTAGACACTCGTTGCGCCCATGATAGGTGTCTAGTGGGTATAGTCGGGTTTGGCCTATGGGGCACAGTAGAGTCTAGCCCACTAGGTGTAATAGTGTGCCCAATGGATGCGTTTGGGGTCAATATAGGTGTCTCAACTAGTGTTGGGATCCTAGTTGGTTCGATTTGTTGACTCGAGGTAGGCTTAGAGGACGTAGCCGAGGGGGGACGTAAAAGTCGGCGTCCTATCTTCTTTTTGGGCCGCAGGCTCTTGCCCCTTGCCTGGGCAAGAGATTGGACCGGTGCAGCCTGAGCCGGCTGTTCAGGCTTGGCCTGGGTCACCTGGGCTTGGGCCTGGGCCACCTGGGCCTGGGCCTGGGCCACCTGGGCCTGGGCCTGGGCCACCTGGGCCTGTGCCTGTACGTCCTGAGCCAGCGCAGCCTCGCTGGGCTGGGCCGGCATGACCTGGGCTAAAGCGACCTCAGGTGGCGCTACGTCCACCGTGTCTGACGTTGATGACGTCACCAGCGTCCCAGCCGAGGCATCGGCGATCGCAAAAAGTTGCGGCGCCTTTATGGCCACGTGATCCCCTCCGTTGATATCAAGATCAACGGTTGGATCTGGTTCGGCGTTATGGCCGTGGCCGTCCGAGGGCGGTGCCTCGGTAACGGCTGTTGACGCCTTTATAGCCGGCTGATTCTGACCATTGATCATACGATCAATGGTTGGATCAGAGGGGGCCTCTTCGCCTGCCGTCGCCTCGTTCCCGAAGAGAGAGTGGACGGCGTCAACTGCTGTCCCCTCCGATTCGGGTCTCGGGAAGACGCCAGCTGATGGCGAATCACGGACGTCCGTGGTTCGACCGTTCAGCTCCTCGGTTACGGCCGTCTCCTCGGTTACATCAACCGGCGGAGAGAGAAGGCGAAGACAGGAGGCCGTTACTGCCACGTGTCGGCCTCCTGTTCGCTCGCATTCGTCGGGCGATTTTTCATCTGGGCGACGGAGGTCACCCGATGAAATCTGTGAACTACTCATCATCTAAGCATCAAATAAAAATGATATAGAAGAGAGAATGGTAAACGAGGCAAATACGATTCTATTGAACTAAAAATAATGAAATTTCACCCAGTCAATAGAAAGATATTACCTTTGGAGTGAAAACTCCGGTAGTTTACCTTCGCGATGAGGAAATTGCGAAACAAAGGCTTTAATCCACCGTTTTCGATGCGTAAAAGCTCGAAACCGATAGCTGTCGGCCTTCCGAATCGAATGGAAAAGGTTTCAGCGCGATCTGAGGTCACACGAAGGAGATCTCACCATTTCGCTGATCGTGAGGAGAGAGAAGCTCTCGCGAGGAGAGAGAAAAAAGTTGAGCAAATGGCGATGGTTTGGGTTTAGGGTTTAGGGT